TGCATCAAGGTAGCGTTAATTTTTTAGGACACAGCTTGTTGCAAAATGTTGAGAGTGGTTGGTTTTGGGAATTTTGACAATCATTATAGTTATTGAAAAAATATGATAACATTTTGTGACACAAATGTGCAATGGTATTAAAAAAAAAAATACATAATTTTTTTTCAAAGATAAAAAAAACATATTTTTCTTCCCACTATTACCCTAGAACCCTAATTATTTTCGGTCGTTAGACCAGACTTAAAAATTGAAACCTTAAACCACCACTACCTATGTCACTCTTGAAAAAAAATGAGAGAACTAACAATTTTTTAACTTTTCTCAACATTTTGAGGGGTATGCGAAAGCTAGGAAGTTGGGCTTTGTAGGACCGTTATTTAAAATAATAATAATAATAAGTGAGGTAAGGTTGTGTACGAAGTTATGATCACATCAATATGCACAATAGAGTATCTAACTACTATTGTGATCAGTTTTAGTTTTTGCGTTTCCTCCCCCCCCCCTTGCTAAGGAGGCATGGCGCAGTCTATGGGCCGCTGAGACTTTGTGGAGGAAGGCATGCCCATACTAGTGCTATGCAGAATGTATAAACCCTCTTTCTCGCCATAAGTTTTTTTTTTTTTTTTTTTCGTGGAGCTGATTCCACTGTCATAACGCCCTTACTCAAGGTATATTCAAAAAACAACTTTGGGGCTATCTATCTGGTATCACGTCTAAATATGTGTGTGTGTTTTTCTTGTGGTTGTAAGCGCGTCGTTTTTTTAAAGTTAGACTGCGTTTTCTTCTTTTTATTGGTTAGAGTACCTGGAAAAAAACGAAACCGGCCCCAAATTCGAAAAACTTGGTGCGCAGTGAAAATCAGGGTTAGCAAAAATAGACACGGAAGTAATGGTCGTTTAAGGGTTTTCTTTCATATTTTTTGCACACATGCTCGCTGCCCAAAGACTGCAATGAAGCGGAACACATTCTCTCTCTCTCCCCCCCCCCAAAAAAAAACAACAGCAAAGAAATATAGACATGACTCTATTCCGCACGCCCCCGCTGTAGACAGTAATAAAATTTGCAAACCTAAGGTTGCGGTATAGTTGGTGTCATGTTTATGGTAGCATTTTTTTTTGGGGGGGGGGGGGGGGGGGGGGAACGACCACTTTAAATGGGGTACAAGTTTCGTACAACCATAGTGAAAATTATGTGGCAATTGGTCCTTTGTGCATATGATCGACAAATATTTGATTGTTTTACTGATACTTTGAAATATGGAGAACTAGTCTTGTGTTGTGGCGAGAGGTGCAAGAAGGGACCTAAAGTCTTAGTACAATGATAATTTTTAGGCCGCAAGATCTTGAAGATATGAGAGTCACCAATGGGTTTTCGCACATGTACTCAATAACTTTTTGCAAAAGGTTGAGAGCGTCTACTTTGATGATTTTCGGTAACCAAAATAGTTACTGAAAAAGTACGGGAAAGTCAAGGGACGTAGGTTGAATTATTATCTTTCAAAAAAAAAAAAAAAAAGGGAAAAAAAATGAATGCATCTTGCTCGTCATTGCTACCCATTGACCTCCATTGTTTTGGTTCATTAGTCACGGCTCAAAATTTGCAGAGGTAAGACTATGGTATCGTTTTCACATCTGTGTGCATAGCCTCAGGGTTGAAGTGAAGCGGAACACATTTTCTCACTTTTGTCTCTCTCTTTCCTCTCTATTTGTCACCCTCCTCTTCAAAAACAAAGAAAAACTTAGGGCTGCATTCGTTACACCCTTCGGATAGACAATTGTCTCAAGCCAACATTCGCTCACAGAACCCACACAATCCACTCACAGTCCCACTCCCGCTCCCACTCCCACTCACACCCAACCCTCCTAATTGACTCGTAGGCACGGGTGTGCAACGCGTAGTTTGTTCGCAGCCCGTCAGGGTTGCGTTTTATGCCCGTGAAACATTTTTCGTCGTTGTTTGTTAGACCGGTCGTTCATTCGGGCCCATTGGTCGTTGAAAGGCTGGTAAAATGAAAGGCACGAGCGTTTGGGGGGGGGCAGCAGTTCAAGCAAATGCAGGACCGGTATTTGCCTGTGGCATTTTTCTGGGAACCGGTAGGTGGCCGTGGTCCAAAAAATATTTTGAAACGGCGCGGGGGCCGCAGGTCTTGAAATTCAAAAATGAAATGGCGTGGACCAAGGCCTCATGCCCACCCCACCCACTTCGGCCTAATAGGCTTAGTCACTGTTCTGGATGATTTTGTCTGAATCTGGAAGCAGTTCTTAGCCAGATTCAGAAACAGAGATGTTCTCTCTCTCTCTCTCTTTCTTTGTCTTTCTCACACACACACACACACACACACGCACACACACACATACACACACACAGGCCTCGCCACAACCAAAACGAAACAAATTACGGGCTGCACACCCGTGCCCTCACGGTAAGTCAATTTGTTGATGTGGTTGGGGATGTGTAACGTAGTGATTATGCTGTGTTTATGTTTTGTCGTGTTCGCTATACATAACTCCAAAAATGTGTGTGTGTGGGGTCGCGACCGACACTTTATTTACAATGTGCATGGGACGCAGGACCCGTTTCCAGAAGGTGTTGCTCCCCACTATAGGGGGATGCTTATATCAACCCTTTATTGGGCCGAAGCGGAAAGTTTTGGGGAAAAAAAGAAAAAAAAAGTGTGTGTGTGTGTGTGCATGTGCATGTGATTGTGTGTGTGTGTGTGTGTGTGTGTGTGTGTGTGTGTGTGTGTGTGTGTGTGTGTGTATGTG